CGGCCTCAGGCCCCCTCCAGCCTCTCTGCTCCCTGCCTGACCCCACCATCCCCTTCTGCGCCCCGCCCCCACTTACCAGCCTCCTCTCGCCCCTTCAGATCGTCTGCTCGTGCCGCAGGAGGAACCGTGGGAAGCTGGATCTGTTCAGCTCACAGGCCTCGTACCAGCCCATGAACGAGTACCCCACCTACCACACCCATGGGCGCTTCAGCGGCCCTGGCAAGAAGCAGAATCCCTACAGTGACGTAAGCAGCGGGGCCTGGGCCTGCCCTGGGTGCCCCCTTGCCCAGCATGTGCCCCAATGTCTGTCCCCGTACACTGCCTGGGTACACACCTGGACCCCGGTGCCCGGTACCTGGCAGCCCTGCCAGGCACACGCTGGGGTGCCAGTGGCGGGCACTGAGGGTGGATGCCCCCCCATTGCTCACTGAGGGCGGGGGTTGGGGGGAGGAGGGGTTGGTCAGCTCATCCTAGAAAATTTCACCAGAGGGAAGAACACAAACCCGGGGTGCAGGGGTTAGTGTGTGATGGTGGCACGGTGTTTCCCACGGTCCTAATTGTGTCCCACCCAATGCACCCCCCCCCCCGGGAGAGAGCCGGGGGGGGTCAAGGGCACAGGGGGACCCAGAGACAGAAATGTGAGCACGGGGCCCTGCTGCACTAGTCAGCTCGTTGGGGGGGATGTGCTGGGGGGGGGATGCGATGTGGGGGGAACTCCTAGGGTAGATGGGGTGGGATTATGGGATTATAGGGCCTGGACTTGGTTTGGTTATGGGGTATGGTTCTTGGGGGCGATGAAATGGGGGGTGGGCCTGGGGGATTATAGCGCGAGGTACTGGGGGGTAGTCCTGGGGTGGGGGGGTGCATGTCCCTGGGGGGCAGGGGACTGGCCTGGCCAGATCCAGGGGAAATGTTGCTCTCCCCAGTCAGGTAGCTGCAGCCCAGGCCCCGTGTGGCGGCCTCTGACCTTAACCCTGGCCCCCCTCGCTGAGTTAATCAGTAATGGGGCAGCTCCCGGCTGACATCAAACCAGCAGCTAAACAAACAGCTAATGGGGCAGGCCGATGGCTCTGCCCACCCCACCCCCACGGCTCTGCCTGGGTCTCTGGGGGCCGCTAGACCTGTACCTGCCATGGCCTGTCCTGCCCTCGGCAGCACCAGCATCCCTTCCTGCCCTGGGACCGGCCCCGAGCCCTGCTGGCTTCTCCGTCCCCGGCAGGGTCTGTGGCCAGACGGGACGTTTGCTGAACGCTCGGCCCTAGTTCAGCAGGAATTCACTCCGGGCCGGTCTCTGGCCTGGGCGCGACGGGAGGTCAGACTAGACGGTCACCATGGGCCTGCTGGCCTGGGACACTCGCACCTGGAATCTGTGACTCCTGCCTCTGTCCAGTGGGGGACGAGCCCCCTGCCTTGCTCCAGAGGGGTGGGGGGCTGGGAGGGCTGGAGTGGGACTGGGGTCAGAGGGTGGTACTGTGGGTGGGGGGAGTTGGAGGGGTGGTCAGAGGGTGGCTTCGGGATGGCATTGGGAGTGGGGCAGGGTGAGGGTGGGGCGATGGAGTGGGGGTAGGGTTGCAGGGTGGAGTTGGGGTAGCGGGATGGGGTGGGGTCACAGAGT